AGGGTGAATCTAACCCGCTCTCTCTGCTTAATTTCACATGAGCCATTGATCTCCTGGTCTGCCCATGGGAGAAGATGAACTGTATAGCATCGACAAGCAGCAAGATCTTGGAGTGTGTCTGAGAACTGAGCACACTGAGTTGGGTAGTGCATGACTGGCAGTGCCTCATCAGGGGTTACTGTGTGCTAACGGTTTAGTGTAAAGGAGCAGCCAGAGTTGTCCATGCTGAAAGAGAGGTCAGAATAGTGAATAAAATCTTCTTTTTCACTTTCACCAAAAGATAATTGCTTAGATGATTTATGGCCAGTGTATACCTCCATGAAATTCTAGGCATAACTGAAACTACTATACAAATAAAAATCAAGAAAAGCATTTTATTATGGCTCATTATTCATGATGCAATTCACAAGGTCTTGTGAGATTCACCATAGCAACAACTGTTCCATATTTTGTACAAACCATCATTATGTACCTTTGTGCTTTACTGGAGTTTGTTTCAACTAATTGTTTTCAGCGTATATACATGCTGTGACCTTGAATGTGATAAAAGCAGGATTTTCAGGCACCCATTTACAAGATCCATTACAGATGTGAATTTCAATACATCACCTTTTCTTCAAAGGACCCAATTAAAATTGCGACAAAAGCGGCATGCTTTCTCTGAAATAAATTTAAAAAAAGAAATACCTTACCATTTTCTTCCCCCTGAATTTTAATGGCATTCGTATGCCGCATCATCATCATTCCCAAAAGATCTATTTTGGTAAAAATGTATGGCTATGTTTGATCTATTCCTCTCTGACCACAGATGCTGTCAATTTAGTTTAATACTTTATTCTGTATGGAAAGAAAAGTGATTCTGACTTTATGCAGTTGTCTTCTGCAAGGCATTTTCAGCAGCACTTTCATTTAAGGGATGGTAGTGCTTCCAACACACGTGACCCAGCTTATATTATCTCATCCTTTCAAGTTTATTCTAGATGTCCCAGGTTTCTTTTTATTGCTGTTCAGTGTAAACTGATTTGACACCATTTTTTGTGAATAGGAAGTATTATGTGAAGGATGTACAGCCATCCATGTGTTTGGTTGAGCTTGGAGCTGTAAGATACTCTCAGCAGGTGCTGATTGCACAGTATTCAGCTGCTCATTCATTCTCATCAAGACGATGGCTGTCAGTGTGTTTGGAGGATCAGTGCCTGATTAGACCTGTAATGTGAGTTATTTCTGGCGAAGGACGAAGGATTTTATATATGATAGGTGCAAAGATTTTGGTTTGCATTATAGTCACCATATGTTGAGCAATATAGCAATTATAGGCGAGTAGGATGGGGAGTAGGGGTGCGAGGAAGTAAAAAAAAAAAAAGAGGCATGAGATCAGGGGTTAATTCTCCCTTTTTTGGGGAACAGGGAGAGGAGTAGAGAGAAAGGGAGCAAAAAACAAATGGCCATCTAACCCTGAATACACCACAAAGTAATGGCTTCCTCCAGCAGTGCCAGCATGTGGCAGTAGACCATCTCATCAGTATCTTCTGTGAGCCAAGTGAGAAACTGTTCCATCACCATCATGTTGATGGCTTATTCTGTGTGTGTGTGTGTGTGTGTGTGTGCTCCTCCACCAGCAACCATGTTCAACGTGAGTCCTAGAGCTGCAGTGTGTAGCGGCTGACCTCTCTGGGTGTTAGGGCCCAGAACTACTGTCAAGATGCAGGATGCAGGATGATTCGCTTCAGGCAGTCATACTCCAGTTGTGTCAGTACTGGCAGCTGCTGGGCTGTGAGTTGGGCTTCCCCACACAAGGATAGCAGCCACACCACTGACTCTGTCTCAGTCAACTCCCATGCAGCTGCAGCAAATTCAAAATGCTCCATTAAAGGCTTCCAGTTCATCCTGTGGAGGCTTCAGAATGAGTCGATCCTTGATCAGCTCTTTCGCCAGTGCCTAAAAGTTGGTGTTGTTATGCCCAGCTGTGAGGGACAAAAAAAAACAAAACAAAAAAAAAAAAACCTCAAGGTGCTCAAAGTCAAATGGTTTGAGCACCACTGTAATAACCCTGACGGGCTGTGTAGGAAGGAGTTAGATTTTTATTATTATAATTAAATAATTCAAAGTGCGGCTATGCTTTTCTCAATTGTTTGCACTGGCTCTCTGATCCAGCACTGTTATGTTGTCTAGACTTGTGTCAAAGAAATAAAAAACAAGTTCTGCATTACAGTTTTAAAGCCCTTCCTGGATACAAGTCCATCAGCTGTTTATCTAGGGTCTCTGAGAGCTCATTTGAGCTTGACATGATCACTTGGCTGTCAGCTGAATTGGGCCCTTAAGCAACTTGCTCATCATCTTCTAATATTGTTTTATTTCTTGTGTTACAGCTGGTGCAAATATAATGTTTACGAGGTGACAAGGCTAGTAATGCTTCAGCTTTGTATGGTCTTGGATATGTTTAATTGCTGCAAATCATACATTTCCAGAGTTACAGTAGATCACCTTAATTTATGTGGCCATGTCAAAAATATGAAATGCAATATATAATATTGCCACTATTTGATGTACAAACTAGAGGTGCACCCACAAAGCAATGTGGAAAACCTCGAGCAACTTGGACTTTACTGCGAATTCTGATCGACATTCTGTGCCACCAAACTTGTTATCTTGCTGATTCACATGCAGGCTGATGATTGTCCCACATCAAGTGTAAAAAAGCATAGTGTTTTGTTATCAGTGTAAGAATTAAACACCTTATCTGACAAACCATCTCACTTCATGATCTGTTCCAAATGGTGCAACTGGGCAGTGAAGAGAAAAGTATGACAAGTGCCACAGATTTTGTTCATAATGTACAAAATAAAATAAAATAGGATCTGCCATGTAAGTTCCAATATGCAAATGACGTTTCCATGGCTGCAGTAGTGCAGTAGAGAGTGCTTTGTCAATATAGTTTTCATGTAGTAAGTAAACACTGGGTGAATGTCATTTTAGCTAGTGATTGAAAAGAGGAGGGACAGAATTATTTACCTGAACACGCAGTCATACTCATCATAAAATAAACATAAATGCAGTAAGAAAAAGGAAATGTACTTTACAATACAAATACAACTAGATGTGTGTAATTATGAGTGAGTATATTTTGTATGCCAATAAAATAATTTAAAAAAAAAAAAACAACAACTATATTACAAAATGACTTCATTCGATCTTTACAGAGTAGACAGTAGAGGTAAAACCCCAGCCAGGGCTAATCACAAACCCCTCTATTCTCTTTGGTGCATCCTTTCCAAACCCTGTCCCCTTTGATGTTTGTGTGTACAGGGAGACCGGGGATAGAGAGTAGGAGAGAGCAGTAGTGAATAAACGTGTGAGAAAAAGACCGATAAATGGAGAGGATGACAGGTGCACGTCGCTACTTCCATCTGTCTTTCTCACTAAACCTCTAATCCACTCATCTGTGCAATTTGCACTTTCCATTTCAGTGCTTAAATTGTGCCTCCCTTGTTTGTGTAGATTTGGTGAATAATTTACCATGAGAGAAGAGCGAGTAGCGTGTGTGTGTGTGTGTGTGGTCTCACATCTGTCACTGTGAATGTTGTTGAATCTCTGCTGGTCTAGTACCTATTTGTATATATTTTTATTTGTTAAAATTAGCCATTGACTATACAATAATGATTATATTATTGAAATGAACAAGAGTACTAATGTAGCTGATTGGATCACTATTACTTCAGTCTAATACTATTAGTTCTCTTGAATCAGGTTTGACCTTTTAAATATTTGCTCTTTTAAACCCTGTGCATCTCGCTTTGATTGCTTCTCACTGTAAGAAGTGTGTCAGACTTCTAAGGAGTGACATTTCATTGGCCAACATACAGCTCACAGAAAAGGGTACACAGCTGACCCCAAATCTGTAACACTGTTAGTGGGTCTAGATAAAAGCGGGAGAAATGACATTTTACAAAACAATAGACCAAGAGCGGCACTGAAACTGGACACAGCTGCTTTGGTCTGGCTATAATTTACTTGGCCATTTATGAATCAAGCTATTGTGAGGGAAATGTCATGTCATGATGATATAGATCACTACATTAGAAGAGAAAGGTACTCTCTCCCTTTCTCTCTCTCCCTCTCTCTCTCTCTCACACACACACACACACACACACACACACACACAGTAATCACTCATTGCTTGCTGACAAGTCTTACAACAGGTTTTCCAATTAGTATTGTATGCCTGAGAGAAAAATTAAAGTCTGTGACACTTCTTGCAAAAATAAAGCTCAGTCTGAAAAACAAACCAGACACGATGAGCAGAAAGTTGACGCTTTCAGTGCTGGAATTCTGGAATCAGAGCAAAAGTAAGCACCATTCGGGTTACTGCGTACTGCACACTCTACTGGTGCATTGAGATTAATTAACTTACAGCACATTTGGACAACTGAACCGTGTGCAATTAGATGTTATCTGTGTTACCTCTTTAATGTTTGAAAATGGTAGTTTGTGTATGCTGTTCTGTGTGTCCATTGTTGATGTAATTGGAATGACATATTTCATATACCCATGAACCTCAGATAATTAAGCTTCCCTTTGCAAACCAGACCCAGGTAAATTCACTGATTTAGTATAAACTCCATCCTCTCCCTCATGCATTGCTGTAAATCAAAGTACAGAAAGGAGAAAGAAAAGTCTATGAGCAGCAAATGCCTCTTTTTTGGACAGCCTTTGAAGCCCAGAGCTCCAGCAGCAAGGCAAGAAGCAGTGACTTCCAGTCCCCAGTGCTTCAAGCTTCAATGAGATCCATTTGTGTTTGTGCCAACATCCCTAGCACTGGTTCATCTCTGTCCATCATTTCTCTCTGGGGAATTGCCCCACCATAGCCCACATGAAGGCTAATAACGCCTGACTGAGCATATGCCACAGACATGGAACTCGAGGCACATAAACACTGTGTATCCTCTATCCACCTGTGGCAAACACCTCCCAGCTTCTTGAAAAACAGAACTGTAGTGGGGATGGCAGTAGCTCAGTGGTTAAGACCTTGGACCTCTGATCGGAAGGTGAGTTCAAATCCCAGCACTGCCAAGCTGCAAGATAATGAGATAAGTGCAAGTCTCTGTGGATAAGGATGTCTGCCAAATGCCATAAATGTAATTGGGTGACAGGAAGAAATTCCACACTGTCTCCTAAACATTTCTCCCACCCCTAAATGTGTTTGCTTTGTCCATGGTCATTTCGTCAGGTCTCTTAACTTACCTGGTCTCCCTGCCAAGCAGTGGATGCTGTAGTCCCCAGGACAGTGAGTGCTCAGAGAGATAGAGGGATAAATGGGGAATCAGCCATGTGTGGCCAGGACCCTCTAAATAAAACCCTCTCAGCTATTTTTACACAAGCCTATTAGAGCCCCACTCCAGCCTGTTCAGCTATGGAGAGGTAGAAAGGTAGGAGAGATGGGGAGCAGTGACCTTCCATTACAGCCATCCTACCCTTTCCATGTGGAGGTCACTCATGTGGCATGTGAAATGAAAGAGGCGGAGAATTGTGGCTTTGTATGCTTTCCTTCTTACTTGCACTCTTAACGTGGTTTCTTGTGTCAACATTCAGGTGGAGACTGAGCTGTGTAATGAATAACTAATGCATTTACTTATTGACCCACATTGCATAAGTGTTATCAAGCAGTTAGGAATTATCCACAGCATTGATGTGATAATTACTGAAAGCTACAGTGAACTAAAGGAATATCACTAGGAAAAAAAATCAAACTGTAAAGCTCTGCCACTGACCTTGTACAGTATGTAGGACATGCATGGACTCACACTTACACACACACACACACTCACACAGACACACTACCAAGTTTGGTGTGATGGGATTCCATGGCCCAGATATGTCACTTTGCAGAGCTAAAAAGTTGGCCTAATAAGAACGTATCTCTCTGGCATGCATTCCATCTCTCTCTCTCCCAAAGCCACATTATAAGAAGCATGTTTTTTTTGGCCAGGGCTCTATAAAGTTTATCCACATGATTTCTGTAACTTCCCATCACTCGTTAACACTTCAGCATCGAGAAGCCACTGGAGATCTTCAATTGGCTGTCTCTTTAATTAATTCAGCAAATTTTGGAGCTGATCTGCAAAGCCTGCATGACACTACAGGGAACGTGAGCATTATGATTCACAGCTTCGAAGCCTAACTGGGTCTAGCTGAAAAAAAGGAGAGCAACACACCCTTATAAAAAGGTTACATATACACGCAAACACATTTAGATCACAGCAAATGGCCTTGTTCGATGACTCAATTATCGGTGGTGTTTTTGAGAATAGGAAACTTGCAGCCGGTCTGGAAAACAGTAAGTCTTTGTAATCAAATGGCACTGGTTGTCTTAACAAACAACACGCCTTGTTGCTAATCCCTGCTCATCAAAGCTGCAAATCACAAAAGAATGTATGGTCCCCTGGGAAAATAAGATATTATTTCAACTCTGATTATAATAAATCCTTTCATTAATGAAGCTTCTCATGGTAAGCATTTATTTATACATACATACATACATACATACATGTTTCGCATCCTGTTAGGGTTGGGGTGGATGATGGGAACAACACAAATGTGTGTATGCACATATGGGGTGGGGGAGGCAGGATGAAGCTGTGAAAGAGTGGCAGAGTCAACATGGCAAGAAGAAAAGGAGAGGAAAGGATATTAAAACCAGGTTTGCTCTTTCCTCTTTGGTGTGCTGTCACTGATTAAAAAAAAAAAAAAAGCCTTATCTTCTGAATGTGTTTGAAGGAGTAATTAGAAGAAACCATTAATGGCTCTCTGGTCAAATAAATTAGTGCCTTAGATTCATTGCCTTATTGTGGAACGTTAGTAGATTGCACACCTGTACATTTGTGAAATAAAACAATTGTCGCATTTTTCTGGTTGCCTCTTGTGCTTCATGTCCAAACAGAAAAACACTGACACTTCGCACTCTAGGATACATGAGGCCAAATTTGTGTGTGACTTGTTACAAGGCATCTTGACTTTTGTCATGTAGTCCCAAAATCACTGAGCCTGTAGAGAGGACATGTGTCTCTGGGCAGCCCTCAGATAGTATCCTAATTAGAGCAGTGCTCAAAATGCAGTTGTCTCTGTTTGACCTCACATTAAGGGGAATCAGGAAACCAGGTTTTTAGGTGAGTCTGCTTTATTGCTAAAGGGCGTCCACACTTCTTGATGAGGAACAGCCACCACAATGTCAAAATTATTATCTATTTCTTTTTTTAATGGGAGCATTTGGTCCACAAAAAGTGACAAATGCCTGTCCTCTTTCCCCTGTGCACGTGCACGCGCACACACACACACACACACGATACAGTATATGGTAAATGGTTCAAAATTGACCTATTTTCTGTGAAATTAACATGCTACACAACTGGATTCTTGGGCAATTTCATGTGTTTTTGCTACTTACAGTACATTAGCGAAGCTGCATTTGTTTTTCAGTAATACTAGTTGATTTACAGCTAAAATCAAATCTAAGAGCAAACAGAATGATGGGATTTCTGAGCTCTTTCTCCTCATTTTATTAGTTTTCACCAACATCCGCCCTTCTCTTGTTCTTCTCCTTTCCCTTGTTGTCAGCGGCTGGCCCATGTTCCTTTCTTATAAGGGCTGGGGAAAAATGACTGTTCCAGGTAGGGTGAGGAGGCATAAGGGCTGCCTCTGAAGAGTCGTGCGGTGCATGATGAAATAGATGAGAGATGGAGAGAGAGAGAGAGAGAGAGAGAGATGACATGAAAGAGGGAATTCCTAACTTGAGTAACTAAAGAAGACTTATGTCCTAATGAGTTTACAGCATCAGCGCATTCAGAGTAGCCTTATTTGTATTTGAATACATGAACACCCCTCCCACTGACATGCACAGTCCGTCTGCATTTCTGTTACAGATTCGCCATGAAGAAGAGAAAACGAATAAATACACTCAAACTAGCATGAAGTCTAAAGTTTGTATCCTGCAGGCCATTATTTCAAGTCGTCCGTGATTAGAAGAATGATGGTGTACTGGCATGGGAATACAGCATGGACAGTAGTTAATTTTTTTTTTTTTTTTTTTTTTTTACTGCAATGCTTAATGTGTCATGGATATGCACACACACACTGTCAGTGTCAGTGCAATCAACATGACTCATGTAACTCAAGTTCTCATCACATACACCCACAGTGAAAACCCAGCCATGAGGCTCACCATTTTAGAACACCTAATGTGTGATGGGAAGTGGAAGTGGGCAGAGAGAGAGGGAGAGGGAGAGAGAGAGAGAGAGCATGTACGGGGAGTAGGAGGGAAAGCAAAATGGTGCCAAATAGACAAGCAAAGCAGAGGAGATAAAATAAAGATGGTAGCTTTTAACTTTTAGCCCTGGGACATTTTGGCAAGAGAAATGTGGTAAAATGTTGAAAGGAGAGGGGAAAACATTTAACAGTGTACCATGCATACACCAGCCAAGCCTAAATGTGATTACACACAAGGGATTAAGAGTGTATCTGAGGACTGTGCTTGTCCATGACTTAAATCCCTCGTTAAACAGTTCAACATTTTTGTCTTTCTCTCTCTCTCTCTCTCACAGCCACAGGTGAACCTCCTCTCTGCTTCGTGGTTTTAATGGAATGGCCAAAAACAGCATCTGTTGTTTACATTATAAAGAATGGATTTTTACAATCTCTAGCAAACCAGAAAAATTGGCTGAACATAGTGCACAAGCCTGCATCAGTGCCCATGAGAAAAGCAATGTAGTTGGATGCACAACGATTTATTTAATTTTCAGTTTTTCAGTGTGTAAATAAGTGAAATCATTTCAGACCTCCGTGTTTAGGCTGCATAATTCATGATTTGGACCGAATAACGCTAAACAAACGAAAAATGACTCTAAGAAGGCTTTCTGTCCTTTGCAGCTGAGGGGTTCAGGACACACAGACAACTCTTTGTCCAAAAACGCATTCATTAGCCAATGCTGCATCCAGTAATTCACCTCTCTCTTTTTCATCACTGTCAAACCTTGAGATATTTTGCTCACTGGGGCCAGATACCAGGAGGGAATTAACTCCAGAGGCATGCCTTCTGAGGAAAGCCTTGAAATCATTTTTTTTTCCTAAGAAGAGGTGTTTATGAATGAGAGGGAAAAGCAAATAAAAGGCAGCCTTCTCCATGTGCCAAGACAATAAACAGACTATTCACACAGTATGAGTCAGATTTCACCTTATGGTTTTCATAGACCTTTGCAGAGCCCTTACTTATTAGAGCCTATTCAACCCAGCCTGTCCGTTGCCATGCGAACTCTGAAAGCGAGATGCTTCGTATCTCTGACTGCAGCTGCAAATAAATATCGCTTTATCCAGCAATTACTGTACTCTACGACGAGCTGATGATAATGGTAAACTCTGACCAAGTGGTATGAAAACAGCATTGAAGCGCTCGTCTGAAAAATGGGTCTAGGCTGTTTGGAGTTAGGAATTAAATCTGCGGCGGGTGCACAGCATCTCAGCCTCCATCCAACCCCTGGAAACAGCAATAAGTATGGTGGCTGATAGCCTGATCAGAGTGGGTTTAGCTGTGTGATTACCCAGCAGGCTTAAATCACTCACTGTGGCAGCAGTGTTGAACAGAACCTTTCAGCCCACACTTTCAGTTCTCCCTGTTACCTGCCAAAGCTGCTATTGAATATCTGCGTTTCCATGCCCAAATAAACGAGGTCTGCATTAGGATGTATGTACAGTATATAAGATTATAGATTAAATATCGTCATTGTGTATTACTATTATTACTACTACAAGTTAGTTAGTCCTCCTATGTATAAGTCTATCATCTGTGAAAGTGAATGTAGCACTTCTTAGTCCAAAAGCGCTTACTTTAGCCCTCCTGTCTACCTGCTACTCACACAGTTGTTGTTCCTTGATTGACGCTTAGGCTTGCAACATGTTTAACAGCTAAATTCTTGAGAGTATCACTTCCTTTATAGAACATTCACTGATTCATTCAGTATCTTCAGCATCCACTTTGTCCTGGTCAGGGTCACAGGGGGTGCTGAAGCCTTGCCAGGGAACACTG